TACCAAGATGAGTCTCTCAGCCGGGGTCTTGCATTCCATCCCAGTCAAGTAGCCTGCTGCCAGGTGACAGGGTCCAGGACTGGATCACCCCACGCCTGGTGAGGTAGGGTGAAAAGGTTTGTTGATTATAGTAATGGTTTGTGAATCTGCTTTGAGTCTCTTATCTAGTGAGCTTGGGTTTGTTGCATGGGCAGTTATTTTCTGGGAAATACTGATTTTAGACTTCACAAGAGGCAAGCATTAGGTCTTCATAATTGGACCAACCTGGTGCCAAATACTTTCTAAGATAAGGTGATGCATTTAAATTCTCATAAATACTTCCCTTAAGCATTGTCTACATGGGAAAATTTACCGGTATAACTATACCAGTATAATTCTAGCACTGTAATTGTGCTGTAATAACATAACCCCCTGTGTGGACACACTTTTTTGGGATGTGGAGTGCTTTTATTTGGTTTAGCTTTGTCTCTTTGGAAGTAATTTAAGCTAAGTTTCGACTCTTTGTAAGACAGTTGACTGTTATGTTATCAAAAATTTTGTTCTTTGAGTAGTTGTCCCTATGGGTGCGCCCCTCCAGCTGTGTGTGCACACCCGTGTGCTTTTGATCAGAGGTTTTTGGTAGCAGTGTCCAGGTGGTCTGTCCCTGTGCTGCAATGAAAGAGTATATATGGGAGAACGGACATATGCGACCAATCCAGTTCCTTCCTAACTGTCTGTGGCTAGAGATGGAGTGTTGTGGTCTGTTAGCTTTGAGTTCATCTAGCTTGCTTGTCTTTATTTTTTATTCTGTTTTATTGTATTAATTCCCTGCACATGTTGGGGTGCTTTTGGGTGGTTCCCCCGTTTTGTTTTTGTAGTTGGGGCCTCCTTTCTCCCCCCTGAGACCTTGGCCTCTCTTTGTCTGTGGCCTTTTTTAGGGGAGTGGGTAGGGTGGGTATGCCCAAAACTCCAGGCTTCAAACCCTGCCCGACCTTTAATAAGTCTTTTCCCCTCAGTGACGGACATTCCAGCTGCCTCTGCTGTCTCAGAGAGTCTCGCATTCCATCTGAGTGCAAGGTCTGCACTGGCTTTAAGAGCTGATCTAGGAAGCTGAAAGAAGACAGGCTCAAGTTACTCCTTATGGAACATTCCTTGAGATCTGCTACTGCCTCAGGGCCCAAGTACTCCCTTCTGACTCCCCACACCTGATACATTGGCCTCAGACAATCTCGGTGCCCCAGCAACTTCTGTGGTTCCAGCTTCAATAAGCAGAGACCTGTGGACAGCTTCAGAGACCCTGACATCTTTTAAAAAAAACAACAACAACAAAACACCACACACCCACCCAAGGTCCTCCAGGAGAGAGCCTAAGAAGAGGGAGAAGCTGCCCCAGAAGTTGGGTAGCAAGGAGACCTAGTGTCCTGGTACGCATATTACCGAGGCTCCTATCCCCTCTGGTGCTGACCTCTCCATACCAGCAAAAAAGATCTCCAGTATTTCACTCACCCAGAAATCTCTCAGTAAGCAGCCCAGCTTAGCACTGATGCTGGTCTTCCAGACACACAAACTCCTTGAGGAAGCCAGCTTCACCTCTGACCCTGACCCCCACTTCCATGCGCATAAGGATTGACTGATTGCCTGGCCTTACCATCCCCAGTATCTTCAGCTCCATTTTAACCAGCCACTCAGTGCCCTGCTTTGCCAGTGCTGACTAGATTCCTTGTGCAAGAGAACTTTCAAGTGTCTGAAGAACCTGACTGCCCTCTACTGAGAGGTACCGAGAGGGATTTTCTGCTGGTACAGTCTCACACTCCGATGACAACATGGCTACTGGGAATGACGCCTCTAGCCTCTTGCCCCACGCTTGCACATTATAGAAACTGGATGATCCCTTCTGGAACTTGGAGATCTCTGTCCAAGATTCCACTACCTTTCCACTTGACACCCTTTTCCCCTGCCCCTCCTGAGATGGCTTTGTCTGGTTAAGACATCTCTCAGGATCAGGATAATGAAGGCACAGTGGTCAGGTTGGGTTCCAGGAGATGGTGGGAATGACAACCAAGGTGGTGAAGCTCCTTCCATCCTCTTCTGACACAGACACTGTCGCGGTAGCCAACTTTCCCTCCTCACCCCCCGCCAAGGTTTTCTTTTTGAGGCCCCTGAAAAGTAACCATCATTAATTTGTGAACAAATTAGGCCTAATTTCCAACCAAATTTTGGTTAATTGATTTCTGGTTTCATGCTTGTTTACTAGGTATGACTTTAACAGTCCTTGAATTTTAGTAGTGGGCCTTTTGTTTAGACTAATTTAATCTTTTTGTCTTCATTTTTCACCTTTTCCCACCAACATGTGTTATAGGTTATTCTGACAATTTGTGTACTTTCACTTTTCACATTTGCTCACAATTAGAGTAAATTTATAGGCCCAATTATTACAACAGCACCCATAGGAACAATTGCTCAAAGGAGAAGGCTAGGTTATTTACTTTTATGGCAATTAGTGTTCTTTGAGATGTTTGTCCCTATGGGTGCTCCACTACCTGCCCTCCTTCCCCTCTACTTCAGAGTCCTTGCCTCTGGCTGGATTTTGTGGTTTAAGAAGAAATTGGAGTGGCATCAATTCCATCCTCCTCAATGTGCCCTCAGATTAGAGCATAAGAATGTATAGGGTGCAGGTGCAGACCAAAAATCTCTTTTTGAAAGTACATGGGTGCATGCGCATCTGGGGTGGAGCACTTAGAGGGACAAAATCTCTCTAAGAACTCTAGTTATTGTATAAGTAAGTAACCTGTCCTTTCATAGATGTCTAATTGCATCTCACCATGGTATGAGCCATTGTGTGTGGTACTGGGAAACTCCTTCTAGTCATAGGGCCTGCTCATTGCTTGCACTATCCAGAGTAGAGAATCTTTTGGCCAAGTCTGTGCTGCTGCAAGCATGGAGATGACCGTGTGCTTTTATGTGTGTTCTTCAAGCCACATTAGCTTGGCCTCAGTTTCTAGGATGAGTTCCTTATCAGACTATCAGTACAGTGATGATTGCTCTTCATTTGAGAGGTTTCATTTTTTTCCACCATCTGGTGTTTTCGTTTCTTTCAGGATGTCTTTTTTCAGAAGCCTGACACTAAAAATGCGTGCCTTATGGGAGTATATCTTAGCAATTGCCTTGCAATTGGTGTAGCTGTATGTGCTTTTTACATAGACATGAGTAAGAGATCTCTTGAGCTACCTACTTGCCAAGACTTTGTCTAGACTAGAATAAAAGGTGTGATGTTAAAGGGTGTTTGCTACAATATGCTAACAATTTTGAAAAGTCGTATAGATAAGGCACGCTGCATTTAACACATACTAAGCTGCTAGAGTTGAAGCTTAGGCTCTCTTTTAGGCTTCAATTTGACCAGTTTAGCACGTGTTAAATTATTCACTGCTTGTCTACACTAGACTTTTCAAAAGTGTTGATTCAAACATGTTAGAATATTAAGCAAGCATACCTCCCAATCCTAGTCTAGGTGGGACCCGACAGAGGAAATCCTGTATGTGGTGTCTTTAAAGAAGTAGATATTACTCTTCTGTTGCCAGCTTTGTCATTTCCTAACTTTTGAGTGCTTGATTTTTAACATCTTTTCCAGTTTGAAATTCACATGTTGATATATTCATAGCTTTTAAGGCCGGAAGTGACTGTTGCGACCAAGCAACTCTGACCTCCCAGAAGACAGGCCAGAGAACTTCCATTAAGTAATTTTTGTTTGAACTAGAGCATATCTTTTAGAAAAAACCTCCAATCTTGACTTAAAAATTCAGTGATGGAGAATCCACCACGACCCTTGGTAAATTGTTCCAGTGGTTAATTACTCTCACTGTTAAATGTACACCTTATTTCCAGTCTGAATTTTTGTAGCTTCCACTTCCAGCCATTGGCTCTTGTTAGACCCTTCTCTGTTAGATCGAAGAGCCCATTATCAAATATTTGTTCCCCATGTAGGTACATATAGATTGGAATTAAGTCGCCTCTTAGTCTTCTCTTTGTTAAGCCAAATAGATTGAGCTCCTGGAGTCTATTACTGTAAGGCATGTTTTTCAATCCTTTAATCATTCTTGTGGCTCTTCTCTGAACCCTCTCCAATTTATCAACATCCTTCTTAAATTGTGGACACCAGAACTGTACACGGTATTCCAGCAGCAGTTGCAAATACAGAGAGCAAATACAGAGGTAAAATAACCTCTCTACTTCTGCTTGAGATTCCCATTTATGCGTCCAAGGATTGCATTAGCCGTTTTGGCCACAGTGTTGGACTGGGAGCTCCTGTTCAGCTGATTACCTACCATGACCCCCCAAATCTTTTTCAGAGTCACTGCTTCCCAGGATTGAGGCCCCCATTGTGTAAGTATGGTCTACATTCTTTGTTCCTTGGTGTATACATTGACATTTAGCTGTATTAAAACACATATTGTTTGCTTGCGCCCAGTAGACCAAGTGATCCAGATTGCTCAGTATCAGTTACCTGTCCTCTTCATTATTTACCATTCACCCAATCTTTGTGTCATCTGCAAACTTTATCAGTGATGATTTTATATTTTCTTCCAGGTCATTGATAAAAAATGTTAAACAGCATAGGCCCAGGAACCGATCATTGCAGGACCCCACTAGAAACACACCCACTCAAGCAGTTTCTTAATCTGTTTAATGTGTGCTTTGTTAGTTTTATGTTGTTCCAGTTTTTTAATCAAAATGTCATGCAGTACTAAGTCAAATGCCTTTATAGAAGTCTAAGTATACATCAACACTATTATCTTTATCAGCCAAATCTGTATTACCATCAAAAAATATTGTTAGAGTCTGTTTTCCATTAAACTTATGTTGATTGGCATTAATTATGTGTTACCCTTGTTTAATTCTTTATTTGAGTTCAGTATCAGCTGATCCATTATTATATTCAAGGGCGGGACTTTACAATGAGGGAAACTAATCTCTTGTGTCTGTATGTGTGGTTTTTTTCTTAGTAACTTTTTTCTTGACTACAGTAACAAAGAACAATGTCTTTATGCCATCAAGCTTCTGTGAACCTTCTGCAGGAAATTCTGACTCAGAACCAGGTGAGCTTCCTAATCTCTTTGCCTTTTTCAGCAAGCTGTTATGCCTTGTGCTTGTGATCTAGAGCGGGCTAATAAACATTTTAAAATTAAGCCCTTAGATGAAAGAATGTAAATTAGCTGCTAAAGCTCATCTCCCCTCATAAGTAGATTGTTTTTATCAGTCATTATAGATGGTTTGTTTTCTGGGGCTTGCAGATATAAACTGTTTATTTACAGTTCCCACTTTGCAATCCATCTGAACTTCAGGTGAAGTGGAATATGTCATTTTCGAGTATGTCATTGTTTTGTACAATGGAAGGTGGTATGATTCAGGTTTTGTATCTTTATCTTACTAGCTTAATAGCCTGTTGTCATGTCAGCTGTATACGGTTACAAATATAACATAACCCACAAATCATGCAAACATTTCATTACTGAAAATAGAATTTAATTTAGCCGTATGTGACTTTTTAAAATGTCTTTAGAAGATGGTTTTAATTTCACTTTTTTCTTTTCAGTGGATCAGACAGTTACCACAGCCCCAGTTCTTTCCTCCCTTTGGAACAAGGGACTTTGCCCACTTCTGCAATAACTTACAGCATGTGCTATCTTTAGCACTTCCCCAGCTGTAGAGTGGAAGTGTGTACACATGCACCCAAACAGTCTTTGGGCTTGGCTACACTGGCGCTTTACAGTGCTGCAACTTTCTCGCTCAGGGGTGTGAAAAAACACCCCACTGAGCGCAGCAAGTTACAGCGCTGTAAAGCGCCAGTGTAAACAGTGCCCCAGCTAATCCCCTCGTGGAGGTGGAGTACCTGCAGCGCTGGGAGAGCTCTCTCCTAGCGCTGGCACACGACCACACTCGCACTTCAAAACGCTGCTGCGGGAGCGCTCCCGCGGCAGCGCTTTGAAGTTTTGAGTGTAGCCACGGCGTTTGTGGTCCAGCGCCATTTGAAATCACTCCCAATGAAGATTCTCAGACAAACACTACATCAAGATAGAGTTAAAATTGTGGTTACAGATTAGTAATTTTGACTAAAGGTTGTATTTATTCCTAAACTAAGACCTATAAACTCAGGAAATTCAGAGTTAATGTTACACTTGTAGGAAAACATTTTAAGATATGGCACATGTAAAATCTTAACTCTGTCCTTTAATGACACCATTAAATAACCATAAAATTATGATAAATTTTTAAGTGGTCATGGTCGTAGATTAGATATAACTGATGTTGAATTAGATTTTGTCTTCCACCTTCATGGGATCACTACAGGACATTCTTCAAATTTAGCCTATGCAGAAGATTTCAGTGAGTTTTAACTATATAGGAAATTTGAAGAGATAGTGTTACTCTGTTACTGAAACCATTCGAGATGAGACAAGTGCGTGAGGTGCTAAATTTCTTAAAGAACCCATTTTAAAATAAAACAGGAGTACTTGTGGCACCTTAGAGACTAACAAATTTATTAGAGCATAAGCTTTCGTGGGCTACAGTAATTGTAAGTAACTCCCACCTGTTCATGCTCTCTGTATGTGTGTATATATATCTCCTCAATATATGTTTCACTCTATATGCATCCGAAGAAGTGGGCTGTAGCCCACGAAAGCTTATGCTCTAATAAATTTGTTAGTCTCTAAGGTGCCACAAGTACTCCTGTTCTTTTTGCGGATACAGACTAACACGGCTGCTACTCTGAAACCTGTCATTTTAAAATAATTAGTTTTGATTCATCAACTAACAAATTTACTTGCAAATTCTTAGTAAACTTATTCTGTACTCACAGTAAGTATTGGAGAAGATCAGTGTATTCTTTATTCATAACAGAGATGTTGAATCCCTGCTTTAAGTACAAAACTGAATCTTAATGATGGAGCCCTCACCAGCTCCTCCATAGTAAAGAGCAGAATGAAACTTCTTAACACTTAACCCAACTCAAAAGCATAGGGTGACTTCTGCAACCTCCATAATACCCACTGCCCCATTAGCCTTATTGCTATGTTACTGTTTCTGTTGTACTTTCCTTCCCATTTGTCATACACAATTTGCAGAATGGTGAAGTGCAAAATCACAACAAATTGATCGTGGTAAACATCCATGCTGCCTTGCCCCCAACTCCCCTTTTGCACTTCTTCCCCTCAGAACACATGCATTTTTATAATTCTCTGAGGAGAACTTGATTCTTCTTTCAGTTAAGTATCAGAGGGGTAGCCATGTTAGTCTGGATCTGTAAAAAACGACAGAGTCCTGTGGACCTTATAGACTGACATATTGGAGCATAAGCTTTCGTGGGTGAATACGTCTGACGAAGTGGGTATTCACCCACGAAAGCTTATGCTCCAATACGTCTGTTAGTCTATAAGGTGCCACGGGACTCTTTGTCGCTTCTTTCAGTTAATCTATTAAAAATTCTACTTGTGGTTACCAGCAAAGGTTCTTGCCATCTCTATTGTCAGGCACTGCGGGTCTGGAACCCAGGCCTGCGGAGTTGTCTAGTGGGAGATTTACGCACTGTGCTGCAGTCAGATGAAACTGCAGCTGATGCCCCACCACCAGATGTTACACCCGCTGACTAGCAGCAGACTGCTGATTGGACACCACTTGGTATAAAGCTCCCTGTTCCTGTCCCACCACTTGTTCAAGCAACAACTCACGAGTACTGTTGCTGCCTAGAACTCCGACGTCAACTCCCTGCCTCTTTGCTTGGCTCCTACCCTTGTTCCTGTCTCCTGCTATCTTGCCTTGCTCCTTGTTCCTTTTACCATACCTAGTTCCACACTCTTGCTATCATGTCCTGCTCCTAGTTCCTGTTTCCTTGCCCTGACCCCTGCTGCTGACTCCTTCTTTGATCCTAGGTGTGACTTCTGACTCCAATTCTGACGTAATTCTTGACATGGCTCTAAATTTGACCCTTGGTGTGGCTTTGGACTCTGACTCTGGCTTTGATCTTCAGCATGATTCCCAATTGTAACCCTGACTCCACCCCTTATTCTGACCATTAGGTCAGACTGTTCTGTTAGAGACTCTAGCAGCTTGCTCAAATCCTCTTGGTCTTCTCCAGGACTCGCTGCTGAATCCTTGGACTAAGTATGGACACCTCCAGGGCACTTGCCCCACTGTTGCCCCAGGGGCCTGTGAGTCTGCAGGAGCAGACTGCCCCTCTCTATAGGATGAAAACCTGAAACTGAGGGACCAAGTGCTACAGCTACAGATGAGAAATCGCTCCTTGCTGGAGCAAGCTCCAGCACTTGGAGCGGCTGTGTGTACCCACTTGTCTGCACTTACGATGCCAGCTTGGTTGACCAGCCCCAGAGTCCCTCTGCTGGAAATATATAATGATGCCTACAATAAGTTTAATGGGTTCCTTACCTAGTGCAGACTTCTGTTTATGCTCCAGCCCAAGGAGTATGTCACAATCAAGTAAATTGCGTCTAATGCTGAGTCTGCTTACTGGGATAGCGCTGGCATAGGTCTCTCCCCTTCTAGAGCAGGATCACTCAATGTTGACCAACTGGGACTTATCTGTACAAGCGTTTGCTACTATTTTTCAATGACCCTCACAAATCCTGCATGGCAGACTCTGCTGTATGAAAGCTTTGTCAAACTCTGGAGTCATAGAATCATTGAATATTAGGTTTGGAAGAGACCTCATGAGGTCATCTAGTCCAATCACCTGCTCAAAGCAGGACCAACACCAACTAAATTATCCCAGCCAGGGCTTTGTCAAGCCAGGCCTTAAAAACCTCTAAGGATGGAGATTCCACCACCTCCCTAGGTAACCCATTCCAGTGCTTCACCACCCTCTTAATGAAATAGTGTTTCCTAATATCCAACCTAGACCTCCCCCACTGCAACTTGAGACCATTGCTTCTTGTTCTGTCATCTGCCACCACTGAGAACAGCCTAGCTCCATCCTCTTTGGAACCCCCTTTCAGGTAGTTGAAGGCTGCTATCAAATCCCCCCTCACTCTTCTCTTCTGTAGACTAAATAAGCCCAGTTCCCTTAGCCTCTCCTCGTAAGTCATGTGCCCCAGCCCTCTAATCATTTTCGTTGCTCTCCGCTGGACTCTCTCCAATTTGTCCACATCTCTTCTGTAGTGGGGGGACCAAAACTGGACGCAGTACTCCAGATGTGGCCTCACCAGTGTCAAATAGAGGAGAATAATCACTTCCCTCAATCTGCTCACAGTGCTCCTACTAATACAGCCCAATATGCCGTTGGCCTTCTTGGCAACGAGGACACACTGCTGACTCCTATTCAGCTTCTCATCCACTGTAATCCCCAGGTCCTTTTCTGCAGAACTGATGCTTAGCCAGTCGGTCCCCAGCCCGTAGCGGTGCATGAGATTCTTTCTTCCTAAGTGCAGGAGTCAGCCCCTTTTGTCACCCAGTTCTGATGCTTGGCCATAGATACCACCTGGAACATGGCCGCACTTCTCCAGCGTTTTTGGCATTGTCTTTGCGAAGAAACTGGAACGTAAAAGGGTTCCACCTACCTTCTGCACTTACCTAAGGCTCAAGCCCAAGCGAGCTCTGCCTGGTTTGAGTCCGTTCACACTAACACAGTACAGTCCCACCTATTCTCTGGTGAGTGAGAGTGTAGAAAACAGGAGACCCTCTGCTTCTATTGTGGAGGAGCAGGGCATGTGGTATCCACTGTTAAGTGCTGTGGAATGTTGTTGCTGCTGCAGCATTGTTACTGTTTTTTGGAGCTCCAATATCAGCTGCACTAGCAGATAGTGCCACATGTTAATTCAGAAGACCTTGATGTTACTCATAAAGAATGACCAAGGGTTTGGTTCAGTGGCGAAGGCACTCGGCCGGGTTTATTGTTGCCGAAGCATAGTATTAGCGCCCTGACTGTGGTTACAGGTGCACTAACACATGCATACCCACGACAATGGTACCCGCTCAGTTAATGCACCAGGATGCACCAGGGGAAGGGATAGCTCAGTGGTTTGAGCATTGGCCTGCTAAACCCAGGGTTGTGAGTTCAATCCTTGAGGGGGCCACTTAGGGATCT